GTTTACGTTTTCATTATTATTTTCCCTTTTACCCAAGAGATGTACGGAGGTAAACTGATTCACATAAAGCTTCTCAGCTAGGTAAGTAGCCAGGACTCAGAGTTGCCAAAGGTCTGAGCTTTTCTCTTTTCCGGGCCACCTCCCTTGCAAAGGGGCAAAACTAGAAACTATATCTAGTTTTAAGAAGGGTTGTTTTTCCCTAGCTGGTTTGGCTCAGCGGATAGAGTGTCAGCCTGTGGACTGAAGGGTCCCGGGTTCAATTTTGGTCAAGGGCACATGCCCAGGTTGTGGACTCGACGCCCAGTAGGAGGCATGCAGGAGGCAGCCAATCAAGGATTCTCTCTCATCACTGATGTTTCCATCTCTCTCTCCCTCTCCCTTCCTCTCTGAAATCAATAAAAATATTTTTAAATAATAATAATAATAACATAACTGGAGCCACATTAAAATGGAGCCAGAGCTAAAATCCCAGAGGAACCACCTTGCATGTCTTACTGCTCAAACCTTTGAAATGTTTAGTTGGGTCTAAATAACCTGTGGACTGAACCTAAAGCATCAGTGTGTCCCAAAGAACTGTTTCTGGAATGATAAGAAAGCAGATATTATGACTACCAGACTAAAAATTAAAAACATTGTTCGGAATTAGCATCACTATGTTAGCTATTCTGTGCCAACAGAAATGCCTTCCTTCTGTTGATGGAGTTGTTCCCCTTCCCTTTGTCATAAATACCTTTTTTTTTCTTTTTTTCTTTTCTTTTTTTTTTTTTTTGTCTCCCAATCGGAACACCAATCAGTGCTTCCCAAGTAGCTATTCTTATTTTTTTTTTAATATCAAATGAATGCTTGTTGCCTCTCACTGTGGCCTTTTATTTTTAGGTTATCAATCCCTAGAAAACAATTCCACAGTGTGCCCTTCTTGCAAAGGGGCAGAAGCAATCTGAACAAAGAGGCACTGAAAAGGAGCTCATTTAAATCGTGGGACACTGCAACGGCTGGTCTATGGTGTTCTTGCTGTAGCAGTCCCAGCTGACTAAGACACCCCCTCAACTTGAAAATGAGCATCTTTGCTTTTCCAGCATACAAATCCTTATGCCACCACACAACACTTGTGCGTGTGCACACGCGCACACACGCACACACACACACACACACACACACAGTGGTGTGCTGGTAAATGCTCACCAGTGCGCTCTCTCAAAGAAAACAGCCCTGGCCTGAAGGATTTCCATTGCGGTGGTGTGAATACTGTCACTGTGGCTCATTTCAAGTGACCGACATGACGTCACTGACCAGGGAGTCAGGAAGAGACGCACAGTCACCAGGATATAGCATCCCCCCCCCCCCCCAC